GCTTTGGCACGGCAGCCTCTGGCAGGACCGAATCCCACAGCCCTTATTTAGGGCAAGAGGCCTGTGGAGGCCCCTCCAGGATGCGGGCTGAGAAACGTTGGGCCTGCCTGCCTTAAAAAGGGGCTTCTGCTCCGAGGTAACCCCAGAAAGGCAACTCCTCCGCCGCTCGGGATCCTCAGGCGGTGCATAGCTCAGCTCGGGACCTTTCCCCCGTTTAGGAAGGAGCCGCGGTAAATCGTGACGTCGTGCGTGCGGCAGTCGCGTTGCTGGAAGGCTTGCGAGGCGCTCTAGATTCAGCGCTGTGATTTCATAGAGAGTTTAACCCTTACGCTGCTCTGGGGTGGTTTTTCCAGGGGAGAACTGCTTTTGGTGTAGGGGAAGAGTATTGCGGAGGGTTTCTGGGCTCGCTGCCCCTCAAACAGTCTTGGCGCTTCCTCAGCTTCGAATTTATCGGCTTGTGCCGCGGGGCAGTGGGTGAGAAGGGGTTTGTCGGAGCCAAGCAGGAGGCAGATGCACGGATCAGGTTGAGGTGCATTCCTGGGGTTGACGGGCGTGCCTCCCGCAGCACGGGGGAGAGAAAGAGATTGCGGCTGTGCCCACACGAGAGCAATTTGGGATCAAGCTCGTTGGGTAGGGATGGATCTGCTGAGCAGCAGCGGCTGGAAGGATGGCCTTCAGCTCCATCCTCTTCACTGCTGTGGAAGCGAAACGGTGAACGCTGCAGTGTTGAAACCCCGTGTAAAGCTACTTCTGCTCGAGTCTGAATGAAACGCTTTCGCCCTCTCCCCCCAGACTAGTGACCAGCACTAGTTTTGTTGTGTGGAGAGACAACTGGGAAGGAAGCGCTACTTTGGGTAGGATTTGGATGGGTCAAACCCTAGCTTGAAATCAATTACCAAGGACTGATCTTGAATTTGTGGCTGCCTTTCAGGTCGTAAAGGTAAATATCCAAGCGCTGTGCCCAAAAAAGAGCTGGGCTTCTTCCAGATTCCTCCCTCAGGGCCTAACTTGGCCCATGTATTAAACGCTTTTCTGCTGAGGGGGGGTGATTTCTATCGAGGAAAGACAGTCCTGAGGAAACTGGATGAGTTACCTGGTTTACGCTGGTTTTGATACACTTGACTTTCCTCCCACCGCAGAGTTCGTCAGCCTCGCGGCAGCTTTGATGTGTGTTATTATGCCCGACCACGCCGACGTCAGCCTCCCGCCGGAGGAGCGCGTCCGAAGGCTGATCCAGGTGGGAAGCGCCGTGGAAGTGAACGAGGATGTCCCGCCACGACGCTACTACCGCTCCGGAGTGGAAATCCTCCGCATGGCGACCATTTACTCGGAGGAAGGCAATATCGAGCATGCCTTTATTTTGTACAACAAATATATCACGTAAGAGCAGCGTTGCTTTGTTTGCAAGTAGCCCGTGTCGATACAAGGGGTTGTGGGTTTGGTGTTGCATATTTTGAGCATGTTTAAATGCTGTGAGGCCCTGCTGAGCTGGAAGAACTGGGTTCTGTCCAGAGCTCTGCTCCTTTTGAATTTCGGTTACCGCAGAGGTGAGGATACAGCTGGTTAGACTGACCAGGAGATGTCGTAAAGGTGTGAGGCGCAAGCCCACAAACTCCGCCCACCTCTTTGCAGGAGGTTTCTAAAAGTTCCCTTTGAAATGAGGCTCATCGTGTATTCCTCTGTCCCTCTGCTAGGGGAGACTCCTGTCAACAGGAGGCAGGTTTCGGCTCCCTGTACGTCGAAGCTTCCTGGTGTTTTATCATTGCAGAGTGGCTAGATTGGCCTGGATTGTTGCTAGGTTGGCCGTGACATCATACGGATTGGCAAGGATCCGTGGTCAGGGATCTCGGTATCGAGTATCTACCTGGAAAGGATCTAGGCTGGTTGGCGGTTTCTCTAATAAACCGGCTTCGGAGGAGAAGCCTGCTTTACACTTAAGCTACTACAGCCTTTTACAGCAGGCAGCGAGTTCCTCCTTCAGGTGCAGGGACCAGCTGTACATTTAGTTTTACACCTCAGAAAGAATATAATCCCCAGCCCCCCACCAACTCCACCAACCACCAAAAAAATAAAAACCCCCCCCCCCCCCCCCCCAAACACGCACGCATACACCCACGCCCTTCTCAGGAGGGACATGGGGAAGAGTTCTGGGTCCAAAGAACCTGAGCCCAATCAACTGATGAGTTTCTTGGGCACTGCGCACCCTTCTAGAAAGCCCCAGATCGTATATAAACCCAGCCAACACCCTGTTTGGTGTTTCAGCTGCCAGGTCTCCAGCTGTAGGGTCTACATTCCGTGTAGACAAGCGCAGAGCCGCATATTCTTGCCGTCATCTCTGCAGCTGGCCAGAAATTGAGCCATCTTGGGTCTGAAACCCCACTGCCGTGCCTGCTGAGCCGGAGCGTACGCTGTTCTAACGCGGTGACATGGCGTCAGGTCTGGATGGTGCCTGAGCAGCCCGGAGTACGAGCAGAGCAAACGTGTGCCTCTCTGTAGCTGTGTCTGTCGGTGTTCAAGGGGCTGAAAACTGTGACCCTCAGAAAATATCCCACTGGCACGAAATGTCCTGTTCCTGTGGGTTTTTTGGCCAAAAGCCTGTCCCTCCCGCTTTCGCCCAGTGCCACTCTGATATGGTCTCTGCTGCGCCCACGCTACCCGCTTATCCAGAATATGGTTGGTATCTCCGTGGGCATTTTCTTTCCCTGCCCCCGTGTGCAGGGTTCCTGCCCCGTAAATCCAACGCATTTTTCTCCGATTAGCTTTTCTTCCCGCCTTGCACTTCCTGAGCTTTTATGGGCAACATAGCAAGTGCCCCGGGAGGCTGCACAGGGAGCTGGGAAGTGTAAAATCCTTGGGAAGGTTTCCAGGCTGGTTACGTAGCCGTGGCCAAAGGAGAAACCCTTTCACTAAACAAATGAACTAAAAGCACCTTCACTGTTTCATTACAGCAGTGATGGGTGCTGGTGTGTTTTCTCTCCAGCAGCTTTCAAATGCTCGTGGCATTTACGTTTGCCTGGCTGCTGGGCTGCCAGGAAGGTGAAAAAACTTCCCCTCAGAGGTGTGATTTCTCCAGTGCTGATGAGTATGAGCTTCTGCCCTGGATTGTCTGAAGATATGAACTTAATGTCACCGGCTCATTTCTTTAAAGGAAGATGTGAAGCTGTAGCTCAAGCGGTAGGCTTGATGAAGTGTTTTCTAGACGTCCTTCCCCAAAGGCGTGATCCAGAAGGCAAGAGCGGGGCGCTGGTAATTGGAGCCTCTCATGGGACATGCTCTGCTCTCCCCTTTCTAGAAACGGGACCCGAATTCTTCCCCCCGATGCTTCAGCCCACATCTGCAGGCAGTGCTGTGGCTATCTTTTCTCAGAGCCCAGCTCCCTGCCGGAGCGTATGGCCTAGTGCAGGCGCTTTCCGCATCAGGCTGCGCCTTTGGGAAGGGGAGGAC